CTCAGCACAAGCACAGCCCACACTGACGTCTGAGCTCCTCCTGCTCCTGCCCCTGCCGCCTGGGCTGCGTGCTTGGCACTTAGCACCCCTACCACCCTGGGTGCCCATCTGCCCAGAATGGAGATCCTGGAGCCCAGAGCCTCACTGCTTCAGTCCCGCGGGCCAAGGCAGACATCCCTTTCCTGTGTCAGAGGAACTTCAGAGAGCAGTTAAGAGTGCAAGCTTTGGTGTCAGACAGCTCTGCCATTTTCCAGCCGGAGGCCCTGGGCTGCAAGCTCCCCGCTCTGAGCCTTAGCTTCTCCTGCCCGTGGAAGGGGGCAGTAACAGTGACTGTGCAAGTTGCCTCATCTCTTTTTTATTTTTTTTTGAGAGGTTTTTGCTATAGTGTGCGTGCGCCCGCCAGACAGACAGAGAGAGACAGAGAGACAGAAAGTGAGAAATCACCCCCCAGGGGGGATGGCCACACTGCAATCCCTTCTCCTCTCAGGATCTTGGGCATGCACGCACACGCACCTGGCGTGAGTTTTAAGCCACCAGGTCCGGGTCGCGAACTGCCATCAACTACGTGGGAGTCCAACCACATAGCCATTACACTAACCGCTGGTCCCGCAAGTTGCCTCATCTCTTGAAGCCTCAGGTCTCTCGTGTGCCACGTACCCCTCGTATGGTTTCCCAGGGTCTGGGTGCATCACCGCGGGCAAGGACAGGATGGCCACATGGTGCCTCCTCCTCCCCTTTCAGAAAAACTGTCATAGACTGAACTGCGTCCTCCAGAATTCGTGTTTTGAAGTCCTAACCCCAAACACAGCGTATCTGGAGACAGGGTCTGTAGGAGGTAATTAAGGCTAAAAGAGGCGTAAGGGTGGGACTGTGATCCAATGACTGTGGCCTTTTAAGAAGAGGAAAGTCTCTCTCTTTCTCACTCTCTCTCCTTTTCTCTCCCTTTTCCCTCTCCTATCTCTTTTTCTCTTTCTCTTTCCATCTTCTCTTTCTCTCTCTGACTGAGACAAACACCTTCTCACCTTCCTACCACTTCTGGAGCCCCTCCCCACCAGGGCAAAGCTCTGGGCCAGGCACTTGGAGGTGGGTGGGCAGACGACCATTGCCCACATGGGTGAGGAGAGCGTGGGGCTCTAGGGTCCCACACTCCCCACCAGTTCACTCACACAGCTGCAGCCACGGGCAAGCTCCCAGCCTGGCTGGGCCTCCCTCCCTTCCTCTATGAAATGGGGGCGCGGGTATCTAGGGCTGCTGAGGAGATCACCCACTGATCCCGTGAATCCTTGCTGAGCTCCGCTCTGGTACAGCACTGCTCCGAGAGCTGGGTGAGGAAGACGGCAGGCCCTGTCTTGGCAGAGTTCACGCTGCTGGTGCAGCAGGGACGCAGACAGGGAACGAGCGTGAGAGAAATGCCACGTGCCACATGCTGGTAAAGACAGTGAAATGAAACAGCAAAGGGGGGCATGGCACCGACAGGGGTCAGGGCGGATATTACACAGGATTGTCACAGGCTGCCTAGGTAGGGATCCCTGCCTCATCTCTTTTTTATTTTTTTTTGAGAGGTTTTTGCTATAGTGTGCGTGCGCCCGCCAGACAGACAGAGAGAGACAGAGAGACAGAAAGTGAGAAATCACCCCCCAGGGGGGATGGCCACACTGCAATCCCTTCTCCTCTCAGGATCTTGGGCATGCACGCACACGCACCTGGCGTGAGTTTTAAGCCACCAGGTCCGGGTCGCGAACTGCCATCAACTACGTGGGAGTCCAACCACATAGCCATTACACTAACCGCTGGTCCCGCAAGTTGCCTCATCTCTTGAAGCCTCAGGTCTCTCGTGTGCCACGTACCCCTCGTATGGTTTCCCAGGGTCTGGGTGCATCACCGCGGGCAAGGACAGGATGGCCACATGGTGCCTCCTCCTCCCCTTTCAGAAAAACTGTCATAGACTGAACTGCGTCCTCCAGAATTCGTGTTTTGAAGTCCTAACCCCAAACACAGCGTATCTGGAGACAGGGTCTGTAGGAGGTAATTAAGGCTAAAAGAGGCGTAAGGGTGGGACTGTGATCCAATGACTGTGGCCTTTTAAGAAGAGGAAAGTCTCTCTCTTTCTCACTCTCTCTCCTTTTCTCTCCCTTTTCCCTCTCCTATCTCTTTTTCTCTTTCTCTTTCCATCTTCTCTTTCTCTCTCTGACTGAGACAAACACCTTCTCACCTTCCTACCACTTCTGGAGCCCCTCCCCACCAGGGCAAAGCTCTGGGCCAGGCACTTGGAGGTGGGTGGGCAGACGACCATTGCCCACATGGGTGAGGAGAGCGTGGGGCTCTAGGGTCCCACACTCCCCACCAGTTCACTCACACAGCTGCAGCCACGGGCAAGCTCCCAGCCTGGCTGGGCCTCCCTCCCTTCCTCTATGAAATGGGGGCGCGGGTATCTAGGGCTGCTGAGGAGATCACCCACTGATCCCGTGAATCCTTGCTGAGCTCCGCTCTGGTACAGCACTGCTCCGAGAGCTGGGTGAGGAAGACGGCAGGCCCTGTCTTGGCAGAGTTCACGCTGCTGGTGCAGCAGGGACGCAGACAGGGAACGAGCGTGAGAGAAATGCCACGTGCCACATGCTGGTAAAGACAGTGAAATGAAACAGCAAAGGGGGGCATGGCACCGACAGGGCTCAGGGTGGATATTACACAGGATGGTCACAGGGAGCCTGGGTAAGGTGCCCTGGAGAGGTGTTCCAGTAAGAGGAGCCACAGGTGCAAAGGCCCTGAGGTGGGGTGTGTACCTGGCTCTGGAACGAAGTGAAAGCCACCACGGAGGCAGGCAGGCTGGACGCAGCTGAGTCAGATCACGCGAGGCCCACCGTTCATCGGCACTGACCAC